GGTTGAAGTCATTATCATCTCTCTCCTAGATTAATGCAATAACTCCTTGATAAATCTCTCCTATTAGCGCATCCTGATCCATTCTTCACCTAAAGGTTAAGTATCTTTATGTGCGTCAGGTTGTCTTCATCCTCATTAACAACCCTGTGAGGTAGATTCTCCTGGTCTCACATTATTACCTGAAACTTGAAGCACAGAAAGATGTGTCCACCCTACTAAGTGGCAGAGCTAGGATATGGTCTCGGGAACTAGAGCCTGCACTCATAATCATCATGCTATGTGCCTCCATGGTATACTGCTGTTTTTATTTAGGCTATTTTAAAGACTTGTTGCCAGAGGTAGTATATGTGTGGGAGGGGGGGAGAGGGTAAAGATTTGTATAAAAACAAGCAGCTGCATGAATTTGGCACAACAGCTGTAAAATTAGAAACAATAGTAGCACTTGAACTGAGATTTCAAAGTTGAAGCTTATGAAGTTTATGAACCTTAATTAAAATGTCACTGATGCAGACGCCAAAAAACATGAAAAGAATAATGCATGTTAGTTAATTGTCTTCTAACTAGGAGAAGAAAATCAGGAAGATAATCAAATGAGCAATAGGCATTTTACATTTTGATTAATAACTTTCTCCATCATCAAAAGACTCTCATGAAAATATCTGGGAATAAAGACAAGTGACTAACTAGCTTCAATCCTCTGTGGATGAAAGGACAGTTTGTATTTTGTACATGGTCAAATGTACTTGAGAGAGATATGATGTACAAATATTAATTTGTTAGAAGCCTAGAAAATAACAATCAGATATGCTCGATGATGCAAAATAATTTGGACATCATTTGTTCATGTGCTAATTTGGACATCATGTGTTCATGTGGATGAGACATCGTGTTTTATTCAGTGTATACTCTTTGTTCAGACACTAAAATAATTTTAGAGAACAAAATGTAGTATTCTACTTGGAGACTAATTGGCTATTTTTTAAAACTCCTTACTTTACCTAACCTCCTGGACATTGTTATTGTAATTCCAAAAAAGTCTTAAATAAAATATTTCTAAGAAGCAAGAATAAGCTGATAATCTATAGATGTTTATTTCCCTGAACAACAACGATAAGTTAATATACAGATAACAATTTACTTCTTTCTATATGAAGTGTCAGTGCTTGATACACAAAATCTCATTGGGATTTTAGGAAGTGGTTATTATTATCCCTATTTTCCAAAGGGAAAATTAAGACAAATAATTTCACAAGTATACATAGATACTAAATGACAGAATCACTAGAAAACTTCTATTTGTTTATTTCCAAATCCAAATTCTCAATGACTGTGTCATACTCTTTCTTCCTCCTTTTCTCCTTTCCTTCATTCTTCCATCCTTCCAAAATATTTATTGAAGGTACACTGAGGGACATTATCATGATAGGCACAGGGGACTCCACTCATTTTGAATTCTTTTCACTTTAATATTGAACTATATTGTTTTCTGGGAACTGTATTTACTAAGTACATGGTAACTACTGGGTCAATATTTGATCAAATAAATGTTTTGTTTTTATATTAATTGGGTATTATCATGACCATATCACTCTAATTAATGCATAATGTTATGTATTCCTACCTTGATCTTTTCATTTTCATGTAAATTTTGGGGAGAGACTCTACCTAGGAAATGCCATATGAATGTTTATCCCCACATTCTGTGCGCACAGATGGCAAAGGAAAAAGTACTCACTTTGTTCCAGGAGTCAGTCGACTATGGCTCACAAGCAAAACACAGGCCAATATTCACCGAGTTATGGAACGGTTACCTCTACCTCTATTATCTCTTCTAAATGTGTTTAAGAACTGGCTCCATCTGTGAGACTCAAAATCAGTGACAGGTTTTTCCTCTGTCTTGTAAATCAACAACCATTTTGCATTATGCCAATACTTGCACACACAAATCTCATTGCAGGTTAGGAGGATTACCCAAAATCAGCACTTTCATATAGCCTCACCATTGCCTTTTAGGAAGGAAAAAAGTGAAACCATTGGAACCTACTTTTAAAAGATTTTAAACTAGATATTCTCTTTTTGTGTGTGCATGTTTAGCAATAGAATCTATAAAACCACAAACAAAGGTAGGGCCAAGAAATGGCACAATGCAAATAAAGTACCCTCACTTACACAACCACAGTGACAATCTATATTTGCAAAAAGGTAAATTGGGAACCCTAAGGACAGTTGCCAATCACTAATTTATATACAATACGGCTTACTGTATAGTCTGAATTTAATGGGGTACAAACTTAAAATGGTTTTACTTTTTTCTCCAGTCATTGTTTCATGCTCTGAAGAACATTTCTTTCTAATCCCAATGTCATTTGGAACAGATTCTGTAGCTTTCTGGTCACTTTAAGTTATTAAAAATACTAGTAATTTAAAGCTTTGGTTTCAGAAGCAATACATATCTCACATTCTCTTCTCTCCTGGGGACGATGCTGATAGAAGTGCTTGGAAGGGTTTTCTGGGATGCCAGTCCCCCAGGTTATAGGATCAAATAGGAGGGCTAGAGAATGACAGGTCCTAACTGATATCATGTTTTATGATAGCTGCCTATTACTGTTTCAGTGTGGTTCCACTTGCTATTTGTGGCCTCCATCCATATAATAGTAGGACCAAAAGTCAGATAATCTAAGAAGGAATCCACTATGTGTTCATCAAGGGGAAAAATTGTGATTTTCACCATGACACTTTTGGGGTAGCTACAGAAATATGAAGCATTTCACAATGAATCAAAGAATGGATAAAAATGGAGGAAGGGATGCCCTGGCCTGTGTTTCTCAGTCATTAGAGCATTGACCCGGGCATTGAAGGGTCTCAGGTCCAATTCCAAGTCAAGGGCATGTACTTGGGTTGCAGTTAGATCCCCAGGACGGTTGGGACGTATGTAGGAGGCAACCAATCAATGTCTTTCACATCAATGTTTCTCTCTGTCTCTCCTTTGTTTCTCCCCTCCTCCTTCCATTCTTTCCAATCTCTCTGAAAACAATGGAAAAAATATCCTCAGGTGAAGATTAACAAAAAACAACAAGAAAAATGGAGGATGGGAAACAACCTATATCAATACAAATCTTATGTTAATTTACAGTGAGAGGAAACAGAAAAATGTTGAATGGAAATTTGAACAGAGGAATGGAGTTTTGTTGTATTTAGTGATTTTTAAAATTTGTTTCTATATTTTTTAACCTATTTGAGAGAGAGGACATTTTAAGTGATACTAAGTGAAGATAGATATAATGTAGTAATGAGGGGAATGATTCGTGTTTCAGGAGAAGATTAAGGGGAGGACCAAACCAGTGAAGTCTTTAGGACACATTTAAGGGATGTGATCTAGACTGATGAGTATGAATTTGTCTCTGATGGGAGAAGGGTCAACTTCCTCTATTTCAACTAGGGGAGAATGTAAAGGTGTATGTAATTACAAGAAGGTTTATAGCTTCCATGCTAGAAAGATGAGAAAGTTACCAATTAGTTAAACACTTTGATTAATTAAGAATGAGCTATCCTGTCTTTTGAGGGGAATGGTAAATTCCATTCTTCTTTTATATTGCTTCATCATTTCACTGTTGGATTGTAACATCTTTCTGTTAGCATTATACTCTTTAGACAGTTAGAAAATGAGAAAAGATAGCTTGTATATGTAACACAAAACATAGTTGATGAATACCATGTATTCTTGTATTCTAGTATATCTTGTCATTTAGCATCTTTCATTTTCTGGTAAAAATGAATATCTCATACCACTACCTAAGCCCAATAGCAGCCCTCTTCTAAGATGAATATTACTTGTGGGACCAATTGGAGAAAATGTTTTCTTTAAAGATAAGCAACTCTTCTTGAAATAAGAACATCTTTCTAGCATGGAAGCTATAAACCTTCTTGTAATTACATACACCTTTACATTCTCCCCTAGTATTGAAATAGTATTAGTTACAGTATAAAACCAGGTCCTTTCAATTACATATAGCAATCACTATGACTTTATTTATTTGGATAAAAACTATATTACATATGTAATATATCATATGTATGAAATAAATATCTGAGTGTGTGTAGTATATGTATATATAAATCATATCTATATACTATATATCTATATAACATATACATATAATATCTGTCTATATTAAACACACACTATTAAGTATACCTTACCATTATACAATGTAATTGTATAGAAATAAATATTTATGGGTACTTTACTTAATACATAGCCTCAATTTCACAGTAAATCTAGGATAACAAGAAATACATTCCATATGTCTTCCAAATGTTCATAAATTGAAAGGAGTGATAGTGAAGTAAACCACTGCTTACACTACAGTGCAATTAGTTATTCATAAAAGAATTTTAAAATATAAAACACACATATTAAATACTAAACAGAAATTATCTTGGAGATGGGCTTTGAAGGATGCACAAATGTTGAGGATATATAAAGGAATCCTAGCACATTTTAATAACACTAATAACATATCCAAAGGCCTAAATGCAGGAGATATGGACAACTGGGAATTAATGGTCATTTAAAATTCCAGATGGATGCAGAATAATACTGGTAGACTGATTTTCCTTCAAATCAAATTTAGTTATTGAACATGCATCTAACATGTACAAATTTATTCATTCATTGCAAATATTGGATACCAAATACTATCTATTAAACAGCAATTAGGTTAACTACTAGAAACTAAAAATTAGGTAGTCTAATAAAGGCACATAAAAATAATTGTCTTATTTCTATGATTCTAATGCTACAGTATTTAAACATATTAAGTAATTTCAAACTAAAATCCTTTGCCAAACCTTAGTATATAGGTTCTAAATTGTGTTCATCCAATGTTTGCTTGAACCATATAAGATCTGACGATTTTGCCTTAGCCTCAGCTTTTTCTCAGACAATATTACTGCATTATCTGCAATGACTATTCTACAACAATTGCTATTTCCCCCAGATTTGGCAATGTGGAGGCTCATTGGAGATTGTGACTTGCTCTCATGTCGGTCATGTTTTTCGGAAGGCAACTCCATACACCTTTCCTGGTGGCACCGGTCATGTCATCAACAAGAACAACAGGAGACTGGCAGAAGTGTGGATGGATGAATTTAAAGATTTCTTCTATATCATATCCCCAGGTAAACAATTCTGACAGTTTTCATCCTCTGCAGGAGAAAATATAATTTTAAGGATGTTGAATATGTGTTTCATTATTTTTGCTAGTTTAAATAAAATGTCATCACCATAATGTTGCAGAAAGTTGGGTTTGAGAAAGTTGTACTATGAAGTTAATTTTCACCTAAAATGAGAAGCACTATACTGATCTCAGATGCATAAGTATCCTTTTTTTCTTTGTTTCTTTCTTGGCATAAGCATTATATTAGAAAAATGGAGCAAACAGTACACAGAGAACTCCAAATTTAATTAACATGTATCAGGTCAATATAAGAAAATAATTTATTCTCAAGAAAAGGAAGCCTTTATTTTCTTGTTTCACATATAAAACTGACTGAGTTGGTAAGAAATTTTGATAATGTTTAAGTGGAGATGTTTTCTACTGCCTTATTTTCTTAAATAGCTGACTCGCAAAAGGTTAAATGACCTACAGAAACAAGATAGAAAATTATACAGATATTATTTTTTATTTTAAATACTTTTTAATAACAGTAAATTACTCATCAATAGGTATGTGAGAAAGCTTAATAGGGGCAATAAAATGTTATTCTACTTTATCACAGAGAAAAATAGATACAGAAATGGAAGTAAATTTGAGCTATCACTGGGTGGTGACATGAGTAACTTTATTCTTTTCCTTTTATTTCTCTGTATCTTCTAAATTTTTCTTATAAAATATTATTAATTTTCCATATAAAACATAAATTAATTTTAGTAAAGTATTAACAATTTTTAAAAAATTGAAAGTCATTACAAAAGGAAAGAAAGCCTTGTGAGAAAATCCCATTACAGGGTTGTGTGATTGTAATCAATTTTATTCTTTATAATTTTCTAGAATTTCTCCAACCATTATGTTACTTAATTTTTTAAAAAAATTACTCTGAGATGTTACTTATTTCTTAAGGAAAAAATGAAGTATGAGAAGATGCAAATAAGAAGATGACACAGGGTTGCCTTCCAGATCTCAGAGACACCAAAGCATAAATTAATATAATGATAGAATAAACTTTAATGTTCCGTTTTGATAGTTTCTATGTAGGCTCTATGGTCATCAATGTCATTGTTAGGAAACCCATAAAAATAACAAAATCCATGCCCACATCCTCTTTTCTATATTTTAATCAACCAGATGCCTGATGCACGAAATTCATGCAAGGGGCTCAGCCCTCGCAGCCCCGGCTTCATCCGGAAGGTTGTTGGCTATCCAGTCTAATTAGCATATTATGCTTTTATTATTATAGATATTATAGATTACATGGCTTAGACAAGCCTGTTTTGTTTCTAGTTGACAGACTCTGATTTCTGAAAGTTTATATGAGGCTGTGAAACTCTTATAGATGTGAAGGGAGTGAGCAGGGTGAACTTCCTATGAAGATCGAGAATTACTCTGTAGAAAAGAAAAATGAGGAATGCATGTGTAAATGTGTGATTAGGAGAAGGACTTTTCACACATTTTCAAGGCTTCTTCTGTGTCAAGCAGCTATTGCCAGATACACTATTTCATGCTTAAATGTATTTCCCTTTACAGTGGGAAGCCATTCCAGATGTTCACAAACTTGAGTTCAGCAAGAGCATGTAAAATTCACAGCTAGGCAGTGGCATTTATACAACCTTTTCATTTTCTTTCGATGATCCTTTTTGAATATAAATCATTACTTGTAGAAATATATAAATTCAAATATGAAGAAAGGAGCAATGGAATGAAGAAGTATGTAATGTGTGATTATATACTCCTTACATTTAGGAATATAAGTAATTGAAATAATTGTAAATATATGTATTATATTCACTCTTGATGAATATTATTTGTAAAAGTGATGTGTAACTCTTTTGTGTAATTTCCCATTGAGCAAAAAAAGCAGATAAACAGTGGAACCATTTCTGAAACTAATAAAATGACAAGCTTTAGATTTTAAAGGGTGAAAAATAAATCTTGCTGTCTGGAACTAATGACACCTTGTTACTCGATAGGGACTGAATATTCTGGAATGTGTAGTTTTTACATTACAATAAATACCACTAGGGAAGTTATTGTTCTTATAAAACGGGCTCATTTAAATCCAGAAAGGTACCTTGGAAAGCAGAGAAAGGGTATTTGGGAAATATGCTGGAAGTATGTAGGAGTTTCCTAAGAGGCATTTATGCTTATGTATGTCTCAGTCACAGCATTGCCAAGCATGGAACCTGCCCGCTGTAGTGTGAGCAGAGAGAAAACAAAAAACATGAAACATTAAATTGCTTCTCAGTGGAAAAGGAAGAGTCGTAAGCTGGAAACTGAAGTTGGATGCTTAAAACCAATTCTAGCCCTGGGCAGGTTTCAAATCATCCAAAAACAGATAAAGTGGGTTGTATTGAAGCAGCCAGGAGTCTGTCATGTGAATGGTGTCTAGCCATCTAGAGTGGATAACTATTTTTGTCATTACCGATGGCTTCTGTTACTCTTACAATCAAAATCTCAGATTTCTTTGCTATTGTCTAGAATTGTTGGGTTTCTATTTTTTATCTCATTGGGTAACAGGTAAGTTTATAAAGAGGGAAGGTGGTGTGGGGGAGATTAGAGGCATATATACCCGCACATTCATGCTGAGAATTATAGTATAATAGTCATAAGCACACACATATTTATGAAGAACTCTAAAAAGTTTATACTGAACTCTGTTTGATTCTCCTGAACCACCTTGATATTCTGGCTAAGGAAATTGTTCCTTTCTAGAAGCACCACCATGTATCAGTTAATTTGTCCAAGATGTTTTGTGAAGAGAATCCTATTTTTTATACCAGCACTACTCTGAATCTTATTTTTCACTTATGCAGTTATTAAAGATGCGATTTTTAAGTACTGATCTGTTATGAATTGAATTCTGACAACATTGCTTCTTTTCAATATGGTCTATAAAATATCTACTTTATTGGTTGGCTTCAGGAACACTTCAGCTCTTTCTCAAACTGGGTGTTCTTTCTTTCTAGAAAGTATGTTATTCCTTGTACTTTTGACACCATGGCCAATACATTATTACTCTGTATCATATTGTTTCGCTTTTATTATTATCATTTCTATATCCAAGGTAGTTCAGATACATGCATTTCCAGTGCTTAGTAATTTCCTGTCTGTGTAGTCCTTGAAAAAAAAAAAATAGGCTGAATAATTAAGAGAATGAATGAATGACAAAATAAATGAATGAATGTTGAAAGGGAACCACTTTCATTATTTTTATTTTTTAAATTCTCACCTAAGGATATGTTTTTACTCATTTTTAGAGAGAGGGAGGGAGAAAAAGAGAGAGAGAAATTTATCGGTTGCCTCCTGTACACACACCAACCGGGGATCAAAACTACAACCTAGTTATGTGCCCTGATCAGGAATCAAACCTACAACCTTTTGGTGTATGGGACGATGCTCCAACCAACTGAACCACCTGATCAGTGCAGGAGACACTTATTTTTTCCTTTCTACTGAATTCTCCTTTGACATCTGGTCTGTGTCAGGGAATCCTATCTAATAATAGACAAACATGGTAATTGATCATACCTTCGCTACACCTCCCATTGGCTAATCAGCGTGATATGCAAATTAACAGCCAATGAAGATGGCGGCTAATTTGCATACTGCAGGCAGGGCGGGGCAGCGCCATCCCACTTGCCATGCCGCCATCCGGGCCTGCTATCTGTGACCCAGGGCGGCGGGCGTCCCATGTACAACCCGACCCAGGGTGGCCAGGCAGGACAGCGAAGGCTTGAAGGTGGCTCCAGCCGGAGCGAAGGCCTGGGTCCTGGGTGCCGGAGGAAAACCGGTGCCGGCAGCAGGGGAAGGGAAGGCCTATTGCATGAATCTTTTCGTTCAACAGTCCTCTAATCTCTTCATAAGACTTTCAGCAATGAGAAGCCTTTATTCCACCTCTCTGAGGCAATTCCTGGTTAAGGACCCACTGACAAAAGAAAGGTGAAGGGTACTCTTCTTATCAGAAAAGGCCATTCCAGCCCTGACCAGTTTGGCTCAGTGGATAGAGAGTCGGCCTGTGGACTGAAGAGTCCCAGGTTCGATTCCGGTCAAGGGAATCGAACCTGTGTACCTTGGTTGCGGGCACATCCCCAGTAGGGGGTGTGCAGGAGGCAGCTGATCGATGTTTCTCTCTCATGGATGTTTCTAGCTCTCTATCCCTCTCCCTTCCTCTCTGTAAAAAATCAATAAAAACATATTTTAAAAAAAGAAAAAAAAAGACCATTCCATTGGCTTACCCATGTACTTAGGGTTTTATGATTCCACCATAATCAGAGGCATACACAGTAATATAACTTAAAAAATTTATCTTTATTGTTGAAAGTATTACAGATGTCCTTTTTTTGCCCCATTGACCCCCTTCACCTCACACCCTCCCTCAGGCCTTCAACACACTATTGTCTATGTCCATGGGTTATGCGTATATCAAATAAGTTATTTGTTAATCTCTTCCTGCCCGCCCCGCTTCCCTCTGAGATCCCTCAGTCTTGTTCCATGCTTCCATGTCTCTGGATCTATTTTTATTTTGTCAGTTTATTTTGTTCATTAGATTCCATATGTAAGTGAGATCATGTGATACATGTCTTTCTCTGACTGGCTTACTTCACTTAGCATAATCATCTCCAGGGCCCTTCATGCTGTCTCAAAGGGTAAGAGATCCTTCTTTTTTTTAACAGCTGCATAGCATTCCATTGTGTAAACGTACCACTTTTTAGTCATTGATCTACTGATGGACACTTAGACTTTTCCAGATCTTATCTATTGTATATAGCACTGCATCAAAATAAAAAGCTTCTGCACACCAAAAGAAACCACCAACGAAATGAAAAGGAATAACACATTTGCCAGTGATACATCTGATGAGGGGTTAATTTCCAAAATCTGTACAGAATTCATACATCTTAACAAAAGGAAGACAAACAATCAAATTAAAAAATAAGCAAAGGACCTAAACACTTCTCCAAA